GATAATTACTCTTTATAACTAAGGAAATTCCACATGCCATCCTATAGATATTACCACGAGTGTATTATAATATAAATATCATATAGAGTATATTAATTATTATATTATACACTCCTGATGTTGATAGTTATTAGTGCATAATTATTATGCTAACGATGTTGACGCGTGCATTACACCCGATATCATGACACCGGATCTTCACAGGCGCGCGCGGGAACGGCGATCGCAACAGTTTTCAAAAATCCAACTCGCTCTTCGCTCTGTCACTCTCTCTCGCTCCTTCGCTCTGTCACTCTCTCTCGCTCCTTCGCTCTGTCAATTTCTCTCACTCCTTCGCTCTGTCAATCTCTCTCGCTCATTCGCTCTGTAAATCTCTCTCGCTCCTTCGCTCTGTGAACTCTCCTCGCTTCTACGCTCTGTCAATCTCTCTCGCTCCTTCGCTCTGTCAATCTCTCTCGCTCCTTCGCTCTGTCAATCTCTCTCGCTCCTTCGCTCTGTCAATCTCTCTCGCTAGACGTCCACGAGGCAACTAACTTGCGTGCATAATGCAAATAATTGCAATCTAGTGCCGAATTTCAGCAAAAAAAAATGCTAAAAAAAAGGCATTTTCTAGAGACGAAATAGTGCATACTCATCTCTGAGTATCCGTGCGTGCGTGCGTGCGTGCGTGCGTGCGTGCGTGCGTGCGGGCTGGCCGTCGGGTGTGTATGTGTGTGTGTGTGCGTGCGTGTGCGTGTGTGTGTGTGTGTGTGTGTGTGTGTGTGTGTGTGTGTGTGTGTGTGTGTGTGTGTGTCTGTGCGTGAGAAAGAATTGTAAAGCAAAGTGTTCCCCATGGATCTTTACGAATATAACATGATCATTTGCCCAAGGAATTGAATTTTTGAATTGAATGGAACTCGCCACCTGCGGAGTGTCGAGCACACCAGGTGAGATTGTATCGGTCACGACGTGTTTCTTCTAGGCTAGCACGTCGATTTATTACCCACTAATAACGCTGCGTGATCACCTATATCGTCAACAGTTCACTTTCCCAGACACGCTAGGCTAACTCCGGGCCATCCGTCTTCGCAGGTCAACACAGCATTAGCGCTCCCGCCTTGATTGGTACGTGGGGATAACGACGATACTACTGGCTACGTTGTCAGGTGAGACTCGCTAGCAACGAGCTCGCGAGCAGGTGAGATCAACAGCAAAGCTGTGCCACGCAATCTTGTATCATGTCTCTCTGGATAAACGTCTCTGCATATAGCCTGCCGACAACTGCCCTGAGATAACATGTGAACCGGATCACAGTACGCTTGAACTGCAACATAGATCTACTTGATATACATACGTTAGGGTATCCACGGTCACCCTAGCCTGTCACGTTAGGGTAATCATGATTACCCTAGCTAGCTTGCAACCTTAGCGTAACCATGGTTACCCAAACCTGTTACGTTAGGGTAACTATGAATACCATAGCTTGTCACGTTATGGTAACCATGGTTACTATATCTTGCCACGTTAGGGTAACCATGGTTACCCAAGCTTGTCACTGTTAGGGTAACTAAATAAATATTATGACTAAATGGAGGTTGGGACAATCATTCTAGCTCTTTCAATTCGATCTGTGTTCGAATCCTAACTCTAATTGTGCCGGTAAGTGGGTACATTACAACACTAGCAATGTTAGATTCAGACATCACACATCTAGACACATCTCACAGACTAGGTACACCATCATCGGTAAGCCGACCATGCGCTATGGTAACGGCATATTCAATTTAAAAAAGGTCAAGATTGAAATGGGCGTAATAAATCAACATGCACGGGCGTGGACCGGAGCCGTCTGATTGATTGAGTTTGAAAATATTCGTGCCGGGAACGGCGGCCTTATCCTGTTTGCCTTGAGACGAATCAACTCGCTCTCCTATTGTTGCGCTGCTATCAACCAACCGTGCATAAGCTAGGTGTAGGCATGTTATTGCATGATCAATGAAAATATAGTGTGGGCGTTTACAGTTTTTATGTGATTCAAGATGGGGCATGTAGTTAGAAGCACGCATGCGAGCAAAAAACGCTGCTCTCTGAGTGTGTGTGTGTGTGTGTGTGTGTGTGTGTGTGGAGGGAAGGGCCAGGACATTATTGTAACCGAAATCCAAAAGAAAAAACTCGAAGATTGAGTGTTTGAACCTTCATACGAGAAATGAATACAAAACGAAGAATTCGGTGTCAAATTAACTCCTTATATAATTTGACTCTTCTCGAGCATGAGCAATACTGTGATAGGACATGATTGCATCCCTTGATTGCTTGATCTTTATCGTTTTTGCCGCGCTTGCCACGATGAAAGAATGGGGTGCGACTTCCAATATATATCACCGCGCTTCAATTGATCGCGTGTGTAAAGGAACTAGATCACAGCGCTTCAAGCATGTGAGAGAAGCGTGTAAATCACATACGTGGTTCACTAGTACGAATCACTGCAAGCTATAATTATTATTACATTATACATAATTATGACGTAACAGCCATGCTCCGTGCACGCCTGCGTATAATCGCTCTGTCAATCTCTCTCGCTCCTTCGCTCTGTCAATCTCTCTCGCTCCTTCGCTCTGTCAATCTCTCTCGCTCCTTCGCTCTGTTAATCTCTATCTCAGTCTCTGTCTTTGCCTCTGTTTCTGACTCTGTCTCTGTATCTGTCTCTGTCTTCGTCTCTGTTTCTGTTTCTCTCTCTCTTCCTCTACATCTTCTATTCTTTCTCTATCTCTCTCTCTCTCCCTCTCGTTCTGCCTCGCGCTCTCTCTCTCTCTCTTTCTTTCTCTGTATGTTTCTTTCACGCTCCCCTCCCTCTCTCGCTTTCGCTGTCTCTCTACATCTATCCCTCTCTCTTTCTTTCGTTCTCTCTCTCTCTCTCACTTTCACTATAGACATCAGCAAACGTGGTAACGAGCTTAAACGGCGCATCTACATTAACAAGCGCTACCGATTGCGCGCGTGAGTGTGTACGTACGTATATACTATCACAATGTACTGACCTATATGTTCGAGATGGTCACGCAATGTAAATCCCGGTCGTGATGCGTCTCTACCACTGCCTTTTCTCCTGCTGTGCGCTTCAGTGCCGTCGCCTGCGATTTTATATTCCGCCATGTCGATGACGTCGACGTGACGTCATCACCGGTCGAGCGGGATATCGGTGGGAGAGACGTGAGTGAAAGTGAGAGCCGGCTGCCACGTGCATTGTGTCGAACTGGTGCGTGCACGCGTGAAGAAATGACCGTGGACGATGGGATATTTGATTGCGTGCGTGCATATACACGCGCGCGCGCGTTCAGTGATGCCATGGGAGGGAGGGGGGGGGGCAAGCAAGAGATAGCCAATGCGAAAACAAAGAGTTGCCGCACATGTGCAGTTGAGAGCACATCTTTGCATTTATTGTGTGCTTAACAGTAAAGCGAAAGTAAAAGTAGAAGAAGAAATATAATTTAAATTTAATATGATAATTTAATTGTAAATGTTTAATATAAATTGAAATTAAAAATAAGAGTAAGAGTAAAAGTAAAAGTAAAAGTAAATGTAAGGGAAAGTCAACTTAAAAGTAAAAGTAAAAGTAAAAGTAAAAGTAAAAGTTAAAGTTAAAGTATAAATAAAAGTGAGAGTAAACGTAAAAGTTAAAGTTTAAACAAACGTAAGAGTAAACGTAAAAGTAAAAGTAAACAAAGTTAAAGTAAAAAGTAAGAGTTTAAGTACAAGTTAATAAGCAAGTAAGTGAAACATCGCACGGGCGAAAGTCACACAACACTCATGCAGCACTACACCGGTCAAACACACACACACACACATTCTTGTCGGGTTATTCCAAGTAGACATCTGAAGCTGAAGACACTCACCTACGTGCGAAATAGCGTTATTCCCTCGCTCTCAAGATGGGCCCTGGGACGGACGTGTCTAATATTGAGCATCGCAGCGAGGGACGACTGTTACCTGAATACAATCGTAACACGTACGGATTGTCTGTCATGCCGCGGCTAACTTGAACGGGCTATCGTCAGTGTAGAGAGAGCGCCAGAGAGTGAGCAAAGAGAGAGGGAGAAAGAGAGGGGGAAAAGAATGAGAGAGAAAGAGAAAAGAGTGCATGCGCGTGCGAGAGAGAAATGTCGAAAGAGAAAGACATGGGTGGAAGAAATAGAGAAAGCAGAGACAGATGTTGAACGAACATGATGGCGTATGTGTCGTGCCGTGCGTGCGCTGCGCGCGCGCGCGTTTGTGTGTCTGGTGTGATGTCTGTGCTTGAGATACGAATTGTAATAGCAAAGTGTTCCCATGATATATACGAATATACATTATAGGCCGGAATTAATTTTTGAATTGAATGGAATCGCAACCTTGCGAAGTGTCGAGCACACCAGATAGAATTGTATGTCACGAACCGTGTCTTCCAATCTAGCTACTGATTTATTACCTCACTAATGACATCTCGCGTGATTACCATAGTCAACCATTTTCAATTCCAGACCGCTCAGAACTACCCGGCCATACCGTATTCGCAGGTCAACACAGCTAGCGCAACCGCATTGATTGATACGGGGGGATAACGACGATACTACTCGGCTAACGTCAGGTTAGATCGCTAGCTATAGGATAGTGTTTCTCTGAATAAACGTGTCTGGCATATAGCCCATGCCGTACAACATCCGCTGAGATAACATTGTGAACCGGATCACAGTAACCTTTGAACTGCAAGCAATAGAATCTGCATGATATACACAACGTAGGTTATCCACGGTCATCCCAAGCTTCACGTTTAGGGTTATATCATGTATATAACCTAGCTAGGTGACAACTTAGGCGTTAACACATGTTGTTAACTCCAAACTATGTACGATAGGAGATAACTATGATTAGTCATAGCTTGTCCCTAATGGTAAGTCATGATACATATACATACTTTGCCGAAGTTAGGTAATCATGGTTACCTCAAGCTTCTCCATCGTTTAAAGTGTAACTAAATAAATATTTAACTAAATGAGGTTAGACAATCATTCTAAGTTTCTTCATTCGATCTGTTTCGAATCTAACTACTAATTGTGCCGGTAAATTGACATTAAACACAGATAATATAGATCAGCCATCACATCACTGACACAATCTCACACAGACTATGTACGCCATCACGGTAAGGCTGACATAGGGCTTATGGGTAACGGCAATCTTCAATTAAAAAATCAAGACTGAAATGGTCGTAAGAAATAACATGCACGGCGATGACCGGAGCAGTCTAATTGATTGAGTTGAAAATTTTCGTAGCCGGAACGGCGGCCTATCTGTTTGGGGCCTTGAACGAATCAACATCGCTTCTCCATGTTCGCTACTAATCACCACGTTGCAAAGCTAGGGTAGCATTATGCATGATCAATGAAAAATAGTGTGAGCGTTTATACAGTTTATGTGATCAGATGGGAGCAATGTGGTTAGAAGCAACGAATGCGAGCAAAAAGATGACCGCTCTCTGAAAGGTGAGTGTGTGTGTGCGAAGGGCCAGGAAATTATTGTAACTCTGAATCGCAAAAGAAAAAACCCGAAGATTGAGTGTTTGAACGCTTCATAACTAGAAATGAATTACAAACGAAAGAATTCGTATCAAATAACTCCTATATATATGAATCTTCTCGAGAATATAGCAAATACTGTGATAGGAATGATTGCATTTCCTTGATTGCTTGAACTTTTATCGTTTTGCTATGCGCTGCTACGATGAAAGGATGGGTGCGACTTCCCAATAATAATCACCCGCGCTTTCAATTGCTCTGTGTTTAAAGACTAGATCACAATGCGCTTCAAGATGTGAGAGAACGTCGTAAATACACATACGTGGTTCATCTAGTCAATCACTCGCAAGCATATAATTATATTACATTATAACATAAATTTGACGTAACAGCCAATGTCTCCGTGCACGCCTGCGTATAAAAATAATTATATATATAATATATATATAGAGATGAATAATTAAGATTATATATTAATTTCTAAATTTAAATAATTGATTATTATCACTGCCTGATATATATATATATAAGGTATCTGTGTGTTGGTGGTGATGTGTTGTATGTAGTGTTTTGTGTGTGTGTGTGTGTGTGTGTTGTGGTGTGTGTGTGTTGTGTGTGTGTTGTGTGTGTGTTTGGTTGTGTGTGGATAAGCCATCATGCTTCATAGCGATACTTCACCGATTGCCGCGCGCATAGAACAGTCTTGTCACACAGCATCAGTTTCCCGCGCTCACCCAGCTGTGTTACACGTAATAACACACCTTGGGCGTCGCGCGAACGATGATGTCGCACTGTCTGCAGAATTTTATTCGAAAGAGATAAACTAAGATGGCGTTTGACGTGAAACGCTTTCAGTTGCTGATTAGTTATGAATGCTCAAGTGAGATACGATGCTTCATAATATTTTAAGAGTCATATGATTAATAGCGCGAAAGGTCCTATTAAAGAAAAAGCGGCTATTAACGCAGACGAAGAGGAAGGAAAATGGATTGTTGTTTGTGTGTTGTGCATGTGTGGTGTTGTGGTGTTGTGTGTGTGTGTGTGGTGTGTGTGGTGTGTTTGGAAGAACAGAGAGAGAGAGGAGAGAGAGAAGAGCGAGAGAAGAGAGAGACAAAGAGTGCGGAGAGAAAGAATGGAGGAAGCGAGGATAGCTCTAGAAAGAAGTAGAGAACGCACACGCGGTTTCTCTCTCGTCAATCGCTAAACTTTTCTACTCTCTCCCCTCTCTTCTCTACTACATAAACTCTTACCCTCTGCGCGCGGCGCGGCGCGGCGCGTGTGTGTGTGTGTTGTGTGTGTGTGTTGTGTGTTTTGGTGTGGTGGTGTGGTGTGTGATCGTGTGTTTGATGTGTGTAGTGTTATGTGTTTGTGTGTGTGGTGTTGGTGTGTGTGTGTCTTTGTGATGTTGTTGTGGTGTGTTGTGGTGGTGTTTGTGTGTGTGATGGTGGTGTGTGTGGGTGGGATTGGTTGTGTGGCAGTGTATCGTGTGTGTGTTGTGGTGTATGACTGCGTGAGCGTAGCGTACGATGCTGTGCGTGGCGCCGCGCGTGTGTGTAAGGTGCATACACGCGCGTGGTGGTGTGTGATGTTTGT